CCCCCCCCCCTCTCTCTCCACACACACACACACACACACACACACACACACACACACACGAATGATGACAATTCCTATCCTATGGGGTTTATAGGAACAAAATAAGACCAAGCTGGCCCTTGAGCTGAGAAGGCAGGTAAATGGCACAGTCCAGTGGAGTGAAGCCAGGAACAATGACAGAAGCAGATACAAGGAGAGGACACTGGGCAAAGTTTTTAGGGGAGGCAAATGATGACCCATGAAAGGGTTGGGCATGCAGGCCACGTTGGTGGAAGGATGTTCTCAAGAGAGAGATCTGTGTATTACTCCTTTCCTAGCCCACCATGCCGGTCTAGGGAGATGGAAGCAGGCACACCAAAGATGCGCCAGAGGAAGGCAAGTCTAGGCAGCAGCAAGTGATGGGGGGGATGGAATTATTGGCTCAGGGGTGAGGGAAGGGCTGGTGAGGTTGCCCACTGGATAATGGCACTTGTCATCAAGGCTGATGACCTGAGTTCAATCTTGGACCCTCATGGTGGGAGAAGAGAACTGACTCCTTCAAGTTTTATACACACACACACACACAGAGAGAGAGAGAGAGAGAGAGAGAGAGAGAGAGAGAGAGAGAGAGAGAGAGAGAGTCAATAAATGTAACAATAAAAATTAAATTAAATAATCAGGAGAAGACACTGATGTCAAGTTGGGCCAGGTTGTATCTGTCACAAGACAGTAACACAAGAGACAAGGAACCCTTAGGAACTGCAGGAGTGGGATGGGGTCTTAGGCAAGGTGACGGGAGACTGGGCAGTGAACATGATGAAGCTTGGTACTTAAGCAATTAAACAGTCACACTGTAAGAAATTTTATACAATAGTTCAAAAAGAAAAACAAATGCCCTGACCTAACAGCTAGTGGTCATGGCCTCCTGCATTTTGTTGTAGCTATTCATGCAAATGTCCTTTGTCTTTTTTCCCACTTTAATAAAAATTAGTACCCCAGTGCACCCACCATTCTGAAACTTGCTTTCTCCTCGATAATTGCATCAGATGTGTGCCCCCCATTTTGATCTATGTAGGCTTACACAGACAGAGGTTTGGGTTATATAACTTTTCGTTTCGTATGTATACTATACTTGAGCATTCCACTCCTTGACTTCACTAGTCAAATGTGTCATGAACACCACCACTATTTCATGCTGGTCCTAGATGGAAAGGATTCAGTAGTGAGCAAGCAAAGTCTGCCTTCATGAACTGATGTTCTACTTTGAGAAAATTAGAGCACTCAACTAGTGACATGATAAGAGGGCATGAGTATAAGTGCACAGTCAGATACACAGCCTCCAGAGGAGAGGCCAGCTACTGTGGAGGGTGGACCAGTCATCATGATTTGCTCAGGACTGCACAGGCTCGGCACTGGATACCCTAAGCCCCAGATAGACCAAGACAATCGGTCACCTGCTCTCAGTCAGCACAGGCCTCTCCTGGAGGTGTCAATGAAGCAGGATCCTCTGCCATGTTATTGGAAGTCAGCCATGTATCATTTGGGGCAAGAGCTTTCTAAACAGAGGAAGTAAACACAAGGAGCTGAGCCACTGAACTGCTTTATGGACATGGGATATATGTGGAAATGGAGACCCAAGGACTGAGCCAGGGTTGAAAGGGGAAGGGGAAGAGATTCTAGTAAGGAACCCCAGGGCCTCTCAGAGCCAAGTAGGCAAAGGAAGGGTCCCAGAGAAGATGCCAGAGCCTCATCTGAGCAAGATGAGGACACAGGAGTCATCACTGGCCCTGACATACGAGTCCACTGTCCACTGATTCCTCAGGATGCTGGGACGAAATCTGCGATGAGTTCAGAAAAGGAGTGTGGATGAGGGGTGCAGACAGCTCCTCAGAGAAGTTCAGTGAAAAAAGAGAGAGAGAGAAATGGGCTGTTTAGCCAGGGTGCAAGGTGAGGAGCTGAGCTAGCGTGGCTGAGGTGGTCCTAAGTGCCAGGCAGGGGCACTTAGCCTGCTGTTAGCTCCTTTATCTTGTTCTTCTAAAGTCTTGCCACCCATCAAAGACCCCATGGGGTGTTTGCTATTGAAAAGAAATGTCCTTGGTAAGGATGTGTGTTTTGTCAACATGTCACTGGCAGACTTGTGTATTGGTTCAACATTTCTGTTTTGTGGGAAGATGAAACTTTGATCCTGTTTCCTTCAGTGTTCTTGAGCCAACACCTCTAGGTCCCTTGAATTTTAGAGTCTCTAAGAATACCTGGCCCACCCTCTCTGTGCCTACAGTGATTGTACAGCCTCACAGAAAGCTCCAGGAAGACGGGGGCTGTAATGGCTCCCATGACTTCCTTCCTTCCTCAGAACACCTGCCTGTGCCTCCTGATCCCCTGATAGAGGAAGGGACCCCTGAGAACCTAACAGTCACACCTAACAGTAAGGCGTTCCTGGGCCAGGAGCCCCTGAGATGTGAGTTCTCACACAGCAGAGGAGCTGTGAACTAGCCAGGCCTGCTTCAGGGACAGTGAGCCAGAGCTCTTGAAGAGCCCATAGGGAAAACCTAGGTAACCAAGTGCTCAGTAGTCCAAGACCAAGGCCAGTTGGACAGAGAGCCAGCTCCACCTTCCCCAGAGCATCTACAGGGTTTTGGCACGTGGATTGTTCTCTGTGGCCATAGCTCAGGTCCCAGGAACCTCTCCTCTAGACCAGGCGGTCTATATAGTGCCTGGTTAGAACCCTGGGTCCTAATAGATGGGCCCTTTATGTATGTATGCACTTGTTCACACACACAGAGAGAGAGAGAGAGAGAGACAGAGAGAGAGAGAGAGAGAGAGAGAGAGAAAAAGAGAGAGAGATTATCCAACACATGCCAATATGGACACAGACACACAGTGATGGACCTATACATACATACATATATACATATATATATACATATATATAAAATACACACTGATATATACTATACAGTGACACACTGAATGTCTGGGGATATTCCATCAACTACACACACAGCAAAACAATGATGAACTCAACACAGATGCACACTCAC